CCCTCCCGGTCGAGCTTCTGAGTGGACCCTCCCGTCGCACTCGTTCCTGAGTCGACCCTCCCGGTCGAGCTTCTGAGTGGACCCTCCCGTCGCACTGGTTTCCAATGTTCAGGATCCGTTCCTTTATGCTGAAAAATCCCCCTGGATCCCGCCCACAAGGCGGGGCTTCCGATTTTTGCTGTGTCAGGATCTGTCCGTAGGCAGGTGTGTCCATGTGTGTGTCCGTATGTCCTTGTGTGCATCACTGACGGTATATTCCGTTGTCAACTCCCTCCATAAAACCCACGAGCAAACAACCAGATGTTACAAATTGTCTCGAAGTCGTCTCTCTGTCTGGGTGCAATTTATCTCTTGTCTGGCCTTCTTCATGAACCCAAAACACAGACGTTACAAATCGTCTCATAGGCGTCTTTGTTCGTGTTGCACAACCTGGAGGGGGGGGCAACACTCTCTCCGACCCGGCGCACAAAGAAATGGTTAAAAGTTTTAAGTTAACATTTGTCCCTTACTATTTCACAGTTATGATTCTGTATGTAACCTAAGGTCTGTCGTTTCCCATCGTGGTTCCCGACCCAAGTGTAGGTGTTTCCCCGAGCGTACACACACTCCTATCCCGCGCTGCGGGGATACAAAGACGGCCGGGATCTCCCTTTCTCTCCGACCCTGGGTTTAACATTGTTTTTTTTTTTATTATGTATTTATATTCGACCTGGTGGTGATTCATCCCGTTATCCTGGCTTTTCCATAAGTTTTACTTTGTCTTTTCATGCATATACTTATTACTATTAATTTATTTCCGATATCTTAGGTTAAGGGGTAAGTTTCTTGATCCTAGGAATTCGTATTCCTTGGTGCCTGGATGGTTATATAAGCGGAATATAGTTTACGGTGAATAGCGTTAACATTGATGTTATGTGCGATATTATGTATTGTGATGTCTTTAACTTAACTTGTTTGTCAGGGCTTTACTGACACGAAGTTGCATTCCATGGTCCGCAGTCTTTGCCCCACCCTATCTCTGCTCGCCGTTGTTGTTGCCTGCCGTTAATTCAAGGCCTCATTAATTTCCGTCCCTCCTGAGTAGGTGAGGGCGGTTGAACCTTGGAGTCAGTTCTGGTTTTTGTCTGCCTGCTTCTTCTTGTGTCCCCTGACCCCGGGAGTTATTATTCTACTTTATGGCCTGTCGAAGCCCCACTCGCTGTTGCTGGGCTGGTGTTGTTCCCGGCTTTTTGCTTACGTTTGCAGTTCGCCGTGCTCTTGATTTCCTTCCCTCTTCAACCTTATATTGACTATTCGCTCCTGTCTGGGTGCGATTCAATTTTGACTTAGGAAGGTTCTGATTGTCATATGCTTCGGGTCGAATTGTATCGAAAGTATTGAAGTATGGAAATAACATTTCATATTGACTTAATAATGGTGATGGTTCAGTAGGCGTAACTTGTGGCCTGGTTTAATTGGAGTGGGTGTGAATATCAATAACTTTAGCCTACTCTGTTGTTAAATTCCGACTTTAACGTTACTTTAATAGCAATACAGAATAATTGAGCTTTTTGTCTTAACTAGGCGAATGCGAACTTCTGGTGACCCCCGCAGCCGTGTTGTTCAGCTGGGTCTTGTGCCTTGAGAGATATACAACCCTCTTTTAAATCACCTCTCCCCCTGCCAACCTTCTGCTCTGGGAGTGTTTATTCTTGATTCCAGGTCCAAGGCCCCCTCACATCCAGACGCGCAGGGTTGTTTACATCAGCTCCCCCCCTGTGCACGTGTTCTAACTAGCTCGGAATTCCTGAACACACAATCAGTGATGATTCCTGGTTTTCTGTGGTTGTGATTTAGACAAAGGCGCCTCTGTTTTCTTCCATTGCCTTTGAGTCGACACTGCCCTATTATTTGCCCATGTGCTGAGGTCATAGAATTCGTTTTGACTTCAGTAATATTAACATTCAGTATTGGATTAGCAAATGGGCAATGGTTCATTGATGTAGCTCGCAGCCTGGTCTCCAATTTGAGCGAGCGCGAGGATCGATAATTTAGCCTACTCTGTTGTTGAATTTCGAATTTTGACGTTACTTTAAAACCATGCAGGATGATTGGGCTTTTGCCTTAACTATGTCTGGCTGACACTCCCACTGTCTCTGCCGCCTGCACGGGTGACATGTGCCCGTTCATCAGGCCTTATCTTCCCTTGAAGCAAGGTTGTAAATTCTGCCATCCTAGCCCTCCTCTGGTTCATTACTTAACAACACCTGGTGTTTTGCAGTTTGCTGGGCTTGGTGTGTTTCACTCATTACAAAAAAAAACAAGTAAAAGGATAATATATAAAAATCATCAAATATTATTAATCTTAATTATGGAAGAAGGGTTAGGATACAACACTCCACACCACGTGTCCCACTCATCACAACCTCCTCCCTCCACACCACGTGTCCCACTCATCACAACCTCCTCCCTCCACACCACGTGTCCCACTCATCACAACCTCCTCCCTCCACACCACGTGTCCCACTCATCACAACCTCCTCCCTCCACACCACGTGTCCCACTCATCACAACCTCCTCCCTCCACACCACGTGTCCCACTCACCACAACCTCCTCCCTCCACACCACGTGTCCCACTCATCACAACCTCCTCCCTCCACACCACGTGTCCCACTCACACAACCTCCCCCCTCCACACCACGTGTCCCACTCATCACAACCTCCTCCCTCCACACCACGTGTCCCACTCACCACAACCTCCTCCCTCCACACCACGTGTCCCACTCACCACAACCTCCTCCCTCCACACCACGTGTCCCACTCATCACAACCTCCTCCCTCCACACCACGTGTCCCACTCATCACAACCTCCTCCCTCCACACCACGTGTCACACTCACCACAACCTCCTCCCTCCACACCACGTGTCCCACTCATCACAACCTCCTCCCTCCACACCACGTGTCCCACTCATCACAACCTCCTCCCTCCACACCACGTGTCCCACTCATCACAACCTCCTCCCTCCACACCACGTGTCCCACTCATCACAACCTCCTCCCTCCACACCACGTGTCCCACTCATCACAACCTCCTCATCCCTCAACACCACGTGTCACACTCACCACAACCTCCTCCCTCCACACCACGTGTCCCACTCATCACAACTGCCTCCCTCCACACCACGTGTCACACTCACCACAACCTCCTCCCTCCACACCACGTGTCTCACTCATCACAACCTCCTCCCTCCACACCACGTGTCCCACTCATCACAACCTCCTCCCTCCACACCACGTGTCCCACTCATCACAACCTCCTCCCTCCACACCACGTGTCTCACTCATCACAACCTCCTCCCTCCACACCACGTGTCCCACTCATCACAACCTCCTCCCTCCACACCACGTGTCCCACTCATCACAACCTCCTCATCCACACCACGTGTCCCACTCACCACAACCTCCTCCTCCCTCAACACCACGTGTCACACTCACCACAACCTCCTCCTCCCTCCACACCACGTGTCCCACTCATCACAACCTCCTCCCTCCACACCACGTGTCCCACTCATCACAACCTCCTCATCCACACCACGTGTCCCACTCACCACCACCTCCTCCTCCCTCAACACCACGTGTCACACTCACCACAACCTCCTCCTCCCTCCACACCACGTGTCCCACTCATCACAACCTCCTCCCTCCACACCACGTGTCCCACTCATCACAACCTCCTCCCTCCACACCACGTGTCCCACTCATCACAACCTCCTCCTCCCTCAACACCACGTGTCCCACTCACCACAACCTCCTCCCTCCACACCACGTGTCCCACTCATCACAACCTCCTCCCTCCACACCACGTGTCCCACTCATCACAACCTCCTCCCTCCACACCACGTGTCACACTCATCACAACCTCCTCCCTCCACACCACGTGTCTCACTCACCACAACCTCCTCCTCCCTCCACACCACGTGTCCCACTCATCACAACCTCCTCCCTCCACACCACGTGTCCCACTCATCACAACCTCCTCCCTCCACACCACGTGTCCCACTCATCACAACCTCCTCCTCCCTCAACACCACGTGTCCCACTCACCACAACCTCCTCCCTCCACACCACGTGTCCCACTCATCACAACCTCCCCCCTCCACACCACGTGTCACACTCATCACGACCTCCTCCCTCCACACCACGTGTCACACTCATCACAACCTCCTCCCTCCACACCACGTGTCCCACTCACCACAACCTCCTCCCTCCACACCACGTGTCCCACTCATCACAACCTCCCCCCTCCACACCACGTGTCCCACTCACCACAACCTCCTCCCTCCACACCACGTGTCCCACTCATCACAACCTCCCCCCTCCACACCACGTGTCCCACTCACCACAACCTCCTCCCTCCACACCACGTGTCCCACTCATCACAACCTCCCCCCTCCACACCACGTGTCACACTCATCACGACCTCCTCCCTCCACACCACGTGTCCCACTCATCACAACCTCCCCCCTCCACACCACGTGTCACACTCATCACGACCTCCTCCCTCCACACCACGTGTCCCACTCACCACAACCTCCTCCCTCCACACCACGTGTCCCACTCATCACAACCTCCCCCCTCCACACCACGTGTCCCACTCATCACGACCTCCTCCCTCCACACCACGTGTCACACTCATCACGACCTCCTCCCTCCACACCACGTGTCACACTCATCACAACCTCCTCCCTCCACACCACGTGTCCCACTCATCACAACCTCCTCCCTCCACACCACGTGTCCCACTCACCACAACCTCCTCCCTCCACACCACGTGTCCCACTCACCACAACCTCCTCCCTCCACACCACGTGTCCCACTCATCACAACCTCCTCCCTCCACACCACGTGTCACACTCATCACAACCTCCTCCTATATTTTCAGATTGTTTTCTCTCCAGAATCCCGTTTTTAATCATTGCTGTTCTGGTTCGTGCGACTCCCAGTGGCTTAGAGGCGAGTGCATTTTATTTTAAATCCGACGAGCAGAGATTCCGTTGTTGCTCTGCAATGTGAAATAATAAACAGCTGTCATTGTTCATACTCTTCCCACAACCCTCCTGTACTCGGAGCACTACAATTAATCTGTATTTTTACTTAAGATAATATGTACCGTGGGGGTTTTTTAAAAGGTTGTATAGGATTTAAAGAATATTCTGGTGAATGACATTAATAGGAGCAAATTGAAATGTGGTAACAATTTTAAATGAACCGTTACTCCAACCTCTTTGGTGTCGCTATCTATAATAATAATTATTAAACTTCTTCTGAACTTCAACCGAATGTTTATTTGTTACACAGAAAATCCCGCGTAGCCAGTTACCCAGCTAGCTTCGGTAGCAACGACCAGCAGCAGCCACTGAGGAGCCCAGCCAGCCGCCAGCCAGGAATCTCGAGGCATAATTGACAAATCGTCCCAGCTCGACTCCATTTCCTCGCTCGTTGAACTGGTCCAGTCGACGACGGCAAGTCAGGGAGGATAGTGAGGGGGGGGGGCAGAGTGGGGGGGGGGGGCGATGTTCACGTGACTAGCCACCCCTCCGCAGGGGGCGGCGCTTGCAGCAGGACGCGGGCGACTTGTCGCACTCGCTCGTCCGCGCCGCTGCTCTGCAGCAGCAGCGACTCCAGCTGTGCGGGGCCCCCCTCGTTCTCGAACCACGCACGGGCCTGGCGGGGGGCGGGGGGCAGGCAGGTGCCACACAAGGGTCAGATTCATAGGGTCAGCGAGTCGGCCACCAGGGTCACGGTTCGGGTGTTGGAGGTAATAGCAAGAGTTGGACGTTGTGTGCCGGCATCAGGGTCCAAAAAAGTTCGAACATTATGCCGCAAATGACTCGACTGGATCTCACGCTCATACAGCAGCAGCAGAGATCATCGCCCCTCATGGCGGACTCATGCGCCAGGGTCACTCCCGCAAATGAGACTCCATCCTGGTCTCTTGAACTCTCACTTGGTTACATAAAATACATTTGAAGTGTGACCAATGCCTCTGGAGTTGAGTGTCTGTGGAATTCTCCTGGTGGCTGAGATGTCACGTTATTGTTTACCGTTGTTATCAGCGTCCAGAATGAACGCCTCACTCGAGACTAAAACATCGCCCGCCTCCTGGCTTCCACACTCCCCCTCCTCCCCAATGAACACTCGTGGTTAAAAACCTCGACCGCATCAGAGCATCAACAGCAGGCCCACGTCCACAATGGAACATAAGTTCGTATATTGAACTTCATTCGCACCATATGTAGCCAACCGTGCTAATCGGTGCCACTGCGGCCGTGCAAGCCATCTATGGACCGGACAATGAACCACTGTGGACTGCGCTGCTTCAACAGAGGAGGAGGAGGGGGAGCAGCGACACGACACCAACTCTCTCTCTCTCTGCTGAAGCCTTCTCGTCGTGGCCAGCAGCAGACACTGGCGCTGCTGCCATCATTCGCACGGATAACGAGTTTATTGTCATCGTTGTTTGCGATTTATTTTATCATCGTCCTAGCTTCTGATCGTTGCCGTTGTCACCTCGGGGCTGTTGGCCAGCAGCGGCTGCCACAGCTGCAGCGCCGTGACCCGGAGCTCGGGGTCACGATCCCCCGGCGCCGCTTCGCCGCCCAGGGACACGGAGGCGGCGGCGCTCAGCAGCTCCGGGCAGCCCCCGAGCAGCGAGCACGAGGGCCCAGCACGCACGGCCACGGTGCAGAGCACGCGCGCCGCCTGTGGGACACGCGCGCACGCGCACACAGACAAAGATCTCCCGTGTGGCCTTGAACTGCTGGGGCAAGTGCTGATAGCGAGTAGCAGCACCTATGAAGGCCGGCACGGCACGCGAGCGGGCGAGTGGCCAACATCACGCCCGGCTGCCTTGTCTCACCCCTGCGGATGTTTACATACTGTACCAAGTACTCGTTTGAGGCTGAGTAGACCTAGGGGAGACCCAGGACCGATTCAGATAATCGTCACTGGTTTTGGCCGTGAGCAGGAATCGAACTCCGGTCTCCAGATTCGTAGCGCTGGGCACTAACTGCTACGCCACCGCTCCCCAAACAAACATACACACAAAGACAAAGATCCCCCATATAGCCTTAACAGACTGTTGGGGAAAGTGCTGTTAGTGAGCACCTATTCAGGCCGGAACGGTACACGAGGGGGTGGGTGGCCAGCACTACGCCCGACCGCCTTTGTCTATCTAGTGGCGATGTTTACACACCACGCCAGGTACTTATTTGAGGCTGAGTCGATCTTGGGGAGGCCCAGGACCAGTTCAAATATTCGTCACTGGTGTTGGCCGTGGGCGGTAATTGAACTCGGGCTGCCGGGTTCGTAGCGCAGCGCACGAACCGCGACACTACTCCTCCCAACACGCACACACACACACATGTGTACACAATCACACAGGCAGACACGTGCCATCATGAATTAATAACCGGCATGCGTCTCCCCTCCCTGCTTATTTGATGTTGACTGAAATGACCCCGCCCGGAGTCGGTTATCAGCGGATCGGTTATTCATCACACACACACAGGCGCCCCGTGTAACGTGCAGACACTGTTGGGGCAAGAGCAGCTATTGTCAGCCGGTAACTTCCCACTGCTGGATACAGGCCTCCCTCATTCTCTCCCATCCCTTCCTTCGCTGTGTCAGTCTATGGGTCTCTGTGTCTCTGTGTGAGTCTGTGGCTCTCTGCTTGAGTCTACGGGTCTCTGCGTTCCGTTTACGGTTCTCTGTGTGAGTCTATGGGTCTCTGTCTGAGTCTATGGGTCTCAGTGTGAGTCTGTGGGTCTCTATGTGCTTGGGGAATTGTTGGTAGCGACGGCTCATCACTGCGTGGCTGCTGCTGCTGCCTCCCATCTCGTCTGTGGTTCCTGTTCGTGCCTCCGAGTCGTTCCCTCCGTATGAGAGCGAGCGACTTAACGCCCGGCGGCAGCGCATCGTGAGGTGACATCGTTATCTCTCACGCGCCGCACCGTGTAACTCATTTAAGGCCGAGTCGACCTGGAGGGGGACCCACCATGAGTCCGACCCCTTGACCGTGGCGCAGCAGTGCGGCGAGGCGAACGTGAGCGCCGAGACGGAGCAGCACGGAGCACCAGGCCGGCTCGCCGGCTGGGAGGCGAACCGGGACGGGGGAGGTTGAGAGGGGTCAGAGTCGGGGTCGGGGGTTAGAGGGACGCGTCAAGAGACTCGCGTGTGGCACGGGGGCGACGCTGGCAGGTGGCGCTGTCCGCCCCGAGTCTGCTCAATGGCGCGCGTGAGCATAGCGAGCTCAGAGGAGGACTGTCGAACGCATCTCGGTGTGGTTCTGCGGTCATCTTACGGGGGCCGTTCTCTGTCACAACGTGGTGCACTGCTCACTGTGATGGACATTTCTTGGTAGAGGGGTGCGAAGGGATAGAGGCGTCCCACCGGTGGTGGGGAGCCGCTCCTGTGGAATCTGCCACTAGAGGGCCCCATCAGCCCTGGCTCGGATAAACCCAGCGATTGGCGATTGCTGCTGGCCCTGCTGCTGCGTTGGCAGTGGTGCACAACCAACAACAACTTTCATAAGAGGTTCCATAAGAGGTTTTTTGGTTAGATCGTGTACATATAAATGTGTCATAAAACCCGCCACCACCAGACAAAGCCAATCTGTTGTAATTACTGGCGAAGCGTCATACTCGAATGTAAATGTTGTGAGTTTACTCTCTAACAAACCGGTGTGCTGTACTCATGACGAATTTGCATGTTTTGTTTTCGTGACAAACCTTACTAATGGGCTGTGTCGGATGGTGGCGGGTTTAACGACGTATTTATATTTACGCGATCTAACTCACAAAAACCTCTATTATGGATAATGGTCGCGAAAGCCTGCTACGTGTTAAAACTCAACACGTTCCGTGTCAACAACAGCAACAATGTGCGTGGCCTTAAGATGAAAAAGCAGTACTGCTTTTAAATTGGGTCCATCTTTTTGAAACACCCTGTATAATAGGAGACGTTTTCGACAATAGCCCTTCTTTATGTCGTATGACAAAGGACCAATATCAAAAACGTTGCCTATTATATATTATTTCCTTCCAAGGCCACAGAGTGTGATTGATGCACGTGTTGAGTTGTTTGTCAATTGAGACAAATTATTTGGTGATGCTGGCAGTGGTGGTGCACAAGCACAATTAACAACAAAAAAAAAACTCAACACTTTCGTCAATAAAACTTCCGTGTTTCCAGAGGAAACATAAAAAAAATGGAGTTTGCGTGTCTCTCTCTCCCCTTGGTCGCGTGGATTTTTCTCCGCGTCCTCCGGTTTTTCCCTCCACATTTATAAACAACATGACGCGTTTAGAGTACTTGGCTGGTATAAGTTTCCACATGATGATAAGCAACTTAGTTGAGCTGTCATTTGTGATAATAGTTTTTTTACCCTTTTATCTGGCAACAAAACTGACACCTTTTTTACAAGGAGTCATGTTTGCATTGACCACAATACCTGCAGTCAGATAAAAGGGTAAACAACCAATTATCATATTTTGTTACTGGCAAATGAGGTTCCAATGCTGTCATTTGTGGCCAGGTCGCTTCTGAAAAAAACAGCGATATAGCGCAGTGGGACTTCGCTGGTAAAATAATAAAAATAGTTTAGTTTTTGTCCAGTTTATTGTCCAACGGGACGAGGCTAAAGCTGCTGGCGCCACCCTCGCCTCCACCCTCGCCTCCACCCTCGCCTCCACCCTCGCCTCCACCCTCGCCTCCACCCTCGCCTCCACCCTCGCCTCCACCCACCTCCACCCACCTCCACCCTCCACCCTCCCCTCTCACCTCCACCCTCACCTCCACCCTCACCTCTACCCTCGCCTCCACCCTCACCTCCACCCTCACCTCCACCCTCACCTCCACCCTCACCTCCACCCTCACCTCCACCGACACCTCCACCCACACCTCCACCCACACTTCCACCCTCACCTCCACCCTCATCTCCACCCTCGCCTCCACCCTCACCTCCACCCTCGCCTCCACCCTCACCTCCACCCTCACCTCCACCCTCACCTCCACCGACACCTCCACCCACACCTCCACCCACACTTCCACCCTCCCCTCTCACCTCCACCCTCACCTCCACCCTCACCTCCACCCTCACCTCCACCCTCACCTCCACCCTCACCTCCACCCTCGCCTCCACCCTCGCCTCCACCCTCGCCTCCACCCACGCCTCCACCCTCGCCTCCACCCTCGCCTCCACCCACGCCTCCACCCACACCTCCACCCACCTCCACCCTCACCTCCACCCTCACCTCCACCCTCACCTCCACCCTCGCCTCCACCCTCGCCTCCACCCACGTTCGCCAAAGCGTCGCCGGCACCCACCGGTCAAGTTGCCCACGAGCCAGAGGCACTCGCGGCTCACGAACGGGCGCTTGGGCAGGAAGCGCTCGGCCAAGACCAGCAGCACCGGCAGGAGCCCTGCGTCGCGCACGGCTCGCCGGGACCCCTCGCCGAGCCCCCCGCAAACCACGTTGCCCACACAGCGGACCAGCGGCACGACCAGCTGCGTCGCGCGGGCACAGGGAGGGGGAGCGCGCAGACCAAACTCACGGTCATCGTTAGCCGTGCTCTATCCACTGCGGGATGAGGCTCTCCCACCCCCCAAGCGGACAAACGGGCAATGATGGGACCTCATTCTGACTAGCCGTGGTCTATCCACTGCTGGATGAAAGTCTCTCCAAGCCATAATCATCATCATGACCGTGGCTCACGGTTCTGTGATGCAACGATCCGTGTGCCACCCTTGCCACGAGCTAATTTCGTCGCTCCATCTCCGCGGTGGGTTGTCACAGCGAACTTGCACCTAAAACCACGACCACCCTCGAGGTGTGAGCGTGACCCCTGTGACCCCCGTGACCCCCCATGACCCCCCGTGACTCCTCTCGGACCTACCAGCTCGGCGTACTCCGGGATGGGGGAGCTCAGAAGCCGCCCCCCGAGCTCGACCAGCACCCCCACGGCCTCGCGGATCAAAGGCTCCTCCACAAGATCGCTCGCTCCACTGTGGGGGGTACGCGGCAATGGGAGGTCAGCGATAAAGCATCGTCATCATCGCGGATATTATCATCATCATCATTAATATCATCATCAGGGCTGGATATAGGCATAAGCTAAGCTACAGCTTAGGGCCTCACATCATAAAAGTTTTACATAATCTGTTCAAAAATAAAGAAGATAGGGAAAAAATACTCTGTAAGACGGTTTTCATTCCGATATGACAAACATATAGAGGGATTCGTCGATGGGGCCTCTTAAGCATGACATAGCTTAGGGCCCTAGCGATGTCATAATCCAGCTCTGGTCACCATTGTTGTCATTATCAATGATTCATCATCATCATTGTCTTCATCGTGGCCGTTAGCAGGAATCAAACTCACGTGGCTGGGTTCGTAGCGCAGCGCACTAACCACTACACTACCGCTCCACACACACCCATCCACAGACACGCACGCCATTCTCTCTCATCCTCCTCCTGCTGCTGCTGAGGCTGCAGGGAACACAGGCCTCAAGCCTCGGACGCAGCCCCCGTGTGCCCCGCGTGCCCCTGTGTGTTGCGTGCCACGTGGGCAACCTGCACGCCAGGTAGTGGAGGCACCACGCCGCTTCCACGGCGCTCGTCGGAATGTCGCGAGCCCCGGGGGTCAGCACCAGCGGCGTCCGCAGGAGCGAGGGCAGCCCGGCCGCCCGCACCGCCCTGCAGCGCCGGCACGTAAACAACAACAAAGAGAGCCGCCATTCGCCACCAAGTGAAGGAGACGTCACCGCAGCCTTTATAATGATGTCAACTCGTACCTTGCCACTGCCACACGGCATCCGCTCCTCGCTCTCGTATAGAGAGAGAGGACGACTCGGAGGCGCCACGAGGAGGAACCACAGACGAGCGGGAAGGCAGCAGTAGCAGCCAGGCGGTGAGGCTGGCACCACCAACAGTTGCCCAAGCTCTGCGGATCTCTTTATTATATCAAGATGTTTCCAGCCACGCGTACGAGCGAGGGGGCCGCACTCTGTTCAGTACAGGTGGAAGATTGGCAGGTCCACATTTTGCTGCACCGCCTTGGCCTGGCAAAAACTAAGCCAGGCGGTAGGCACACTGGCAGGAGCTCACGGGACAGACCCAGGTGCAATGGGTCGACTGAGATGACCAGCAGATGCACCACCTGTGCTGCCCACTGTGCCACCTCACTGCGTTTTAGCTGCACGGCGCTCCTCCGCCCGTTGTTGTGAGCATCGCTCCTCTGCCCCTCCTTGGTTCTAGAGGGCGACTGTCTCCACTACCCAGTAGCCTCACAGTACACCTAGTCTGGCACTGCCCAGTAGCGCCCTTCACGAGCCTCCTCCAGAGGCCGATCTTGACACGGCTTGTACACACGCACATAGATGTACACGTACGTGTGTGTGTGTGGGGGAACGATGGGGCGGATCGAGGGGGAGCGACTCACGGGATGATGCGGTCGAAGGCTTCGGGCGCCTGGAGCAGCTGGGACAGCGCAAACGCAGCGGCCTCCTGCACCGCCCCGTGGGGAGACTGCGGGTGCACGCAGCGCGAAGCGCGCATGAGTGTGTGCGAGTGTTTGTACGCACGTGTGCACATTGTTTTACGCCTATACGCCCTTAATAGGTGCTCCCTAACAATGCTCGCGGTCGTCATTGCATTACTGCACTACTTTAGCGAACAAAAAGTGAATGAGCAGGCCCGACGTTAACCAATGCAGAGATAATTATCGAGATTGCATTGCTACTTCTTGATTAACGTAAGTCCATACTGCCCGTCACAAATAACATACGCAACATGACGCGTGTGGCAGAGAGATTGCTTCGCTAATGCAGCCTGCGTGGAACTCGACTTTTAAATTATTACAGTCCCCGCGCGAGCTTTAATTCAATTACGCGTGCCGCTCCACAAACTGGCACACGGGCCCTGCTTGTGCCACTGTCGAATGATTTAATACGAGTCGTCGTTTCAGCTCCCTGCTTCCTCTTCAGTTCCAGGTCTCTCCCTGGTCCCAGGTCTCCCTTACTCAGATCTCCCGGTTCCCACAAGTTCACACGACCCCTTCGGCCCAGTTCTCCAAGTCTGCCTGGTCCGTAGGCCTCTCAGTCTTTAGGTTCCTGCACCCAGGTCCCCCTGCCCCGAGGATTCCTTCGTGCCACAGCTCCCGCTGTCTCCCTGTGCCACGTCTCCCTATGCTCAGGCCTGCTAGGCCCTCTGTCCACATGTCCCCAGGTCACCGTCTCTCTGCCACCCCCCCCTCACTCCGAACTCCTCCCCATCTCCCAGGTCTCCCTGGGCTCCAGATCCCCATGGCTGCCAGGTTCCCCCTGTGCAGACCTGCAGGCAGGATGCGATCCCGGGGAGGAGCCCCTGTGCCATCATCTGTTCCCGCGCCCTCGCACTCTCCGTCACCAGGTTTGCCAGCGTGTACAGACACACCTCCTGCAAGAGCACACGCACAAACACACGCGTGTGTCAGTGTGTGCGAGTATTAATAGGACGACTCTGCCTCATTTGAACACACGGTGCGGTGTGTAAACAACGGCACTGACCGGGGAGACAAAGGCAGCCAGGTGAGGCGTTGGCCACGCCACTTCCCCGTGTGCTGTGCCAGCCTCCACCGGTGCTCGTTAACAGCACTTGCCCAAACAGTCTGTTAAAGGCTACGAAGGGGAACTTTGTATTTATATTGTGTGTGTGTGTTAGCCCATAATACCTGGGTCTGTTCTGTGACCTCCCGTCAGAAGCGAGCCTTGGACGCTCACATGATACCTTCAAGGTGCACCTAGCCTGGCATGGTGTGTACGCGCGGGCGTGTGTGTACGTGCGGGCGTGCCTGTGGGCATGCGTGTGTACGTGTGGGCATGTGTGTACACGTGTGGGCGTGCGTGTGTACGTGAGGGGTGTGTGTACGTGCGGGCGTGCCTGTGGGCATGTGTGTGCACGTGTGGGCGTGTGTGTGTACGTGAGGGGTGTGTGTACGTGCGGGCGTGCCTGTGGACATGCGTGTGTACGTGTGGGCATGTGTGTGCACGTGTGGGCGTGTGTGTGTAAGTGAGGGGTGTGTGTACGTGCGGGCGTGCCTGTGGGCATGCGTGTGTACGTGTGGGCATGTGTGTGCACGTGTGGGCGTGTGTGTGTACGTGAGGGGTGTGTGTACGTGCGGGCGTGCCTGTGGGCATGCGTGTGTACGTGTGGGCATGTGTGTGCACGTGTGGGCGTGTGTGTACGTGAGGGGTGTGTGTACGTGCGTGTGTACGTGTGGGCATGCGTGTGTACGTGCCGTGAGCTGGGGGCTGTGGCCCCCCAGCAGCGTGACGAGGTAGGAGGTGGAGGCGAGGCAGGCGAGCGGCGCCGCGGGCAGCGCGGAGTGCGACAGGCGCAGCAGCGAGCGCGCCGCCTCCAGCTGCAGCTCGGGGCCGCGCGCCAGCAGCGCCACGAGCGAGCGGACGCCACCCTCCACGCTGGCACACAGAGACGGAGATCCCCCGCGTAGCCTCAACAGGCTGTCGGGACAAGTGCTGGGAGCGCGTAGCACTGGTCAAGGCCGGCACGGTGGGTGACCAGCACCACGCCCGGCCGCCTTTGTCTCTTCAGTCTTAGGACTGGTTCAGATAATCACCACTGTTATTGGTCGTGAGAGGGGGTCCAAGTCAAGTAGCCGAGTTCGGAACGTAGTGCGGCGCCAACCACTGCGGCACAACTCGCCACAATACTGACACACGCACACACACACGCACTGACACACACTCACGCACACACACGCACATACACACACGCTCACACACACACGCACTGACACACACTCACGCACACACACACACACACGCACATACACACACGCGCACACACACACGCACTGACACACACACACGCACGCACACACACGTGTCACGTAACCCACTGCGGCACAACTCCCCTCAACACTGACACACACACACGTGTCACGTAACCCACTGCGGAACCCCATGATGGAGCTCCACGGTGAAGCTCCATGGTGAAGCTCCATGGTGAAGCCCCACGATGGGAGCTCCATCGTGCAGCCCCTGCTCACCCAATGAAGGCCGCCTGTGCGTCCGGGTTGGGCAGGGCCCGGCGTAACGCGCGCAGGGCCTCCAGCCTGGGGCCAAGGGCTCCAGACGACGCCGTCCTCTGCACCTCCAGCCACAGCTGCGGCACCTGTGTACGGTAGGGGGTGCACGCACCAACAACAATACTCGCATGGCGAAAAAATGTTCGTGGGACCCTCCACCATGACAAATATAACCGTATAGACATACAAAGATCCCCCCTATATCCATTAACAGTCTGTCGGAGCGAGTTCTGTGTGTGAGCACCTATTTAGGCCAGGATGGTACACGAGGGGGTGAGTGGCCGGCACAAGGCCCGGCCACAATTTGTCTCCCCAGGGATGACGTTTACACACCGTACCATTTAATGCTGAGTTAACCTCGTGGAGGCCCAGGACCGGTTCAAGTATGCATCACCCAATGTTAGCTGTGAGTAGGAATTGAACTCAGGTCAGCTCGATCGTAGTGCAGTGCACTCACCACTGTACTAATGCACCCCATGTATGAATGCGTAAACACCCCACATGTGCATACACGGAGATATGCGCGAGGAATAAGGTCCTCTGTTGTGGGCATAACATTGTTTGTACGTGCATATATGTCTGTACAATAATAATTATTCTGTTTTGATAGAGCCACCCTCCTTTACGCCGGGACATTTGAAGAGCGCTTTACAGGCATCATATCTAACGTCGACATATTTGAAAGGGTACCCCCAGTGGCAGCTGACCCTGTCGGGCACAGGGTACCCGACCTGCAAACCAATATAAGTTTGCCAGTAGGGGCTGATGATTGGTACTGTGTGTAATCCCCTCCAACTAATTAGCAGTGTAATTTTTCGAATTTCGCCAAAATTTTGGCCACAACGCCGGCACACAATAGCCGACACTTGCAAATTATGCCAGGGGATCTTTAACGTCCACCGCGGAGCAGACAGCGCGTATTTATGCGCTCAATACACCGGAAGTAGTGACCAGGGCGGCCTGCCGAATTCGAACCACAATTCTCTGCAACAATGGCAAACCCGCTATCGCTGGGCCGCGTCACCACCTTAACCACCGCACGCAGCCAAAGTGTCGCGTCTGAAGCGATGCTCCCTGCGAGCCACTCACGGTCTCTGCTGCTGCTGCTGCCTGTGGCTCGTGGGGGGAGCTGGGGGAGCCAGGGGAGGCTGCGGGGCCCCTGGGAGCTCGCTTGCTCACGAGCTGAGATTCTCTCCGAGCGCGACGCAGCTCTGTCGAGCGGACGGCAGAGGGACATTGGCGCGGCACTCGCACACACGTGTACAGAGCTGCACACTCGCTAACAGACACGAAATACAAAGAGCCCTCGTGTAGCCTGTCACCGGCTGTTGGAGGGAGTGCTGTTTGCGAGCACCAATGAAGCCCAGAATGGTACACGATGAGGTGGTGTGGCTAGAACCACGTCCGGTCGTCTTTGTCTCCCCAATGCCGATGTTTGCACGTTGCACCAGGTTCACATTTAAACCCCAGGACGAGTTCAGATAATCTTCACCGAGGTTGACCGCGAGTGGGAATCGAACTCGGGTCACCGGCTTTGTAGCGCATTGCGCGAACCACTGCACCACTGCTCCCACATACGCAGGCATGCATGAACACGCACACACAGACACCATTACCTCCAGGTAGAGGACACTCAGAGGGGAGGTGGGACAACTGAAGGAGGAAGTCGTAAAGGGGGATAGGAAAGAAGGCCTGGGAGAGAGGGAGGTCTGGGAAGGGAGGGGGGGGAGGGAGACCATGGTGGAGGGAGACCTGGGTAGAGGGGGAGGGAGACAAGGGTTGAGGGGGAGGGAGACCCGGGTGGAGGGGGAGGGAGACCAGGGTCGAGGGGGGCGGAGTTGGGAAGATGGGGGTCTGGAAGGGAGGGGGCTGCAGAGGAAGGGAGACCTGGGCCGGGGGGAGCGGGACTCCTCACCGGCCTCCTCCTCCCTGCGCCGTGCCCTCATGCCCTGCACGCTGCTGCTGGGCCCTGCTGCCTTGTACAGATCTCTCCGCCGATTCTCCATCACCGCCTGGGGCAGGGCAAGGCAGTGCACGACCGGTTACTGCAGGAAACAGCAGGGCACAGCAGGCTACTGCACGGGAAGGTGCCGCAGGTTTCTGTCGGGCACAGCAGGGCTCGTGAAGCTGTGCGAATTACTTCACGCGGCAAACAACAGCTGGACTACAGCTGGAATACAGCGGGCAACAGCTGGCGTATGCGGCAGACCGGTGCACAAACCCGCGACACGTTCATAGCATGCCCCACATACAGCCTGCCACATAGATAACAGCAGGCTATCGTTACAGCAGGCTGTAGTTAGAGCATGCCCACACAGCTCACGTGGCTGTAGGCACGCCGTAGGCTCCTGCTGTCGTCAAGTTGTAGGTGCAGACGTTGTGCTGCTGTTGCTGACAGCAGGCTGCAGACGTCACCGTGTCCTGCTGTAGCCCGTGCTGTCCTGGCTGTATCGATGGTGCGAGGCTGTTACTATTGTTCAGCTGTAGCTGATACTGGGCTGTAGGTCCTGCTATGCAGACTGCTGCTGTTACACCGGGTGTACCGACAACAGAAGCTATCCTGGCCGTAGACGCTGCTGTCTCTGTTGCAGACGATGCTGTTGTCGGTCTGTCTGCTGCTGTGCGAACTGGACCTGTTGGTGTTGTTGCTGTCAGACTGGAGCGAGTGTTGTTAGGCTGTCTTGGCAGCTGCTGCTGCCATGTTGTTGCGAGCGCTATGCCGACTGAGATGCGTGTTGCTGTTGTTCTTGCTGTTGTTGTTGTCGCTATCGCGCTCTACTACGATGGGAGCTGTTGCCAGGCTCGATCAGCTGCTCGCTATGGCAGCGTTCGGCTGTTCCTGCCCCCCCCCACGCACGTGGCACAAGCAAAACTATCCGCTTACAAGTGCTCGCAGATTCGCGAAGAGTGGGCCCGTTTAAACTGAATAATTTCGCAGTATTATTAATTTGCCGATTATATATTGAGCGCGATTTAAGTCTCTTATTTTTTTAATGTTTATAATTTAGTAAAACAGCTTAGGTGTTCCAAATATTCTACCATCAATTACGAATGTGCGGACGCGGAATCTGCACGCTGCTGTGAGCAATGCAAGAACACGCGCCAAATTCATCAGGGAGAGGAGAGTTTCTGAGGCAGAATGGTGCGTGGTGTGTGATGTGTCTCCTGTGTGTTGTGTTGTCTGTGTGTTGTGTCTCCGGTGTGTGTCTTCTGTGTGTGTTGTCTGTGTCTCCTGTGTGTGTTGTGTTGTATGTGTGTGTTGTCTGTGTGTGATGTGTCTCCTGTTTTTGTCTTTGTTGTGTTGTCTGTGTGTGTTGTGTCGTCTGTGTGTGTTGTGTTGTCTGTGTTGTGTGTGATGTATCTCCTGTGTGTGTTGTCTCCTGTGTCTGCTGTGTCTTCCGTGTCCCCTGCGTCTGCTGTCTTCTGTGCCTGCTGCTTCCTGTCTGCTGTGCCTCCTTTATCTGCTGTCTGCTGTGTCTGCTGTGTGTGTTGTCTCTGCTTCGTCTGCGGTGCCTTTTTTGTCTTCTGCGTCTATAATTGTTCACTGGCAACAGCAGGCCCGCTCCTTATGCCACCATCGCTTGCTGTTCCCAGGACTATGGGTGCTCAACAGTTGTGGCTGAGTGGGGGCAGCAGACACCAGCAGGGCTCTAAGGAGTACAGCAGCCAGCGTGCCAGTCATAAACCCACACTGTGCTGTGCCACACTTAATCGTACTTCTGTGCCAGCCTCAAGAGCATTGTTGCTGTGTCAGTCATCATCATACTGCCGTGTTCATTATAATTGCATTGCTGTGTCAGTCAAAAGCTTACTGCCGCGTTATAATTGCATTGCCGTGTGAGTCTTGAGTTCATTGCTTTGTCAGCCATCAGCTTTCCTGCTCTGTCAATGATTGCTTTGGGGTTATAATCAGCCACGAGCTCGCTGATGCGTCCGTCTTGAGCTCATTGTTACGTAAGCTATCATTTGTATTTCTCTGTCGGTCATAGGCTCCTTGCTTGCGTGAGTTTTAAGCTCACTGCTGTTGCCAGTCTTTAGTCGTAGCACGCCTGCCCGGTGACCCTTGTCGGTGCTTCTCGCTACAACTCGTCGACCTGTGTTCGTTTTCAGTCGAAGAAAAGGGGCCTGAGTTCGGAGGAAAAGCGAACGAAAATGATGGAGATATTTTTCGAAACGGTTTGTGGATTATTATAATAATTATGCCTGTCATGTTTACAATCTATACATTGCGTCCTTGTCGTCCTTTGCTAAATGACGGCACCAACAACAATTGCCCAAGCTCTGCAGTCCTATAAATATATTATAACCTCAACACATCAATAACACCGGGGCCTGAAAAGGGAAAATATATTACAGGCGACGTTTTGGGAAAATCGCCCAGTCATGGCACATGTGCCAACACGGTGTCACCAAATAATGTGTCTAAATATGAAGATTTGTTTGATAGTCAAACTGATATAGTTTTAATTCTCAGAGTTAGAAATTGGAAAAAGCAAATGGAAAGTTAAATGTTGAGCTGTGCGGTCTCCGAGGGTTCAGCTCTGTCCTTGTCCGTCTGCAGAAGGACGTGTTCCAGCTGAAGGACTTGGAGAAGATCGCTCCACGGGAAAAGGGCATCAGTGCGTCCAGCTTCAACGCTCTTGCACTCCCCAAACAGCACTCATCATCTGCCTCCTCCTCCATCATCATCATTGTCATCATTACACGGGCTCTGGCGTGGTGTGTGTATGACGCAGCGTGTGTGACTGCGGTGTGTGGCCGGTTTCCGTGGCCCAGCGTGTGTGGAATGGAGTGTGTGTGATGCGATGTCTGCCTGGCACGGTGTGCGTGCCTGGCGTGCGTGACGTGCTGTGGGGCTCTGTGCGGCGTGCTGCGTGGCGTGCCATGTGACCCGGTACACAATGTGTACCTGGCATGCTGAGTGACATAATCTGTGTGATGCGATGTGCGACTTGCACGGTGTGTGTGATGCAATGTGTGATGCAATGTGTGATGCAATGTGTGACGCGGTGTGTGCGACGCGGTGTGTGCGACGTGCCGTGTGCCCGTGCGCAGCTGCGATGTCGGTGAAGGAGGTGCTGCAGAGCGTGGTGGACGATGCCATGGTGGACACCGACCGCATCGGCACCTCCAACTACTACTGGGCCTTCCCCAGCAAGGCCCTGAACTCCCGGCAGAACAAGCTTATGGCCCTGGAGGCACAGGTGCCACCACTCGCCGCGCGTGTGGGAAAGTAAAGTCGTCGTCGTCGTCGTCGTCGTCACCACCGTGGGGCGGTGACGTGGCCCGGCAGTAGCACGCTAGGTAGTGCATGGGGCCAGCAGAGATTTACGAAACTGTCCAGACGTGCCGGGCCGCGTCTTGGGATGCCCTTGGGAAGGGAGCCGGGGTCGATCCTGTGTGTTTTCGTCTCGGCCCGCAGCTGAAAGAGGGGGAGGTGCGGCGCCATGGCCTACAGGAGAGCGTGGTGAGGGCCACGGCGGGCCGGGAGGACACGGTAAGCATCGTTTCTCGGCAGGCGGCATCCGACGGCAGTGAAGGCGGACATTCTGCACCGTTTTCGACAAAAACACGACAGCCGAAATCTCGCGCAATCCAACGCGTCCATTTTAAAAGTGGAAGGAGCAAGCGTTACGGATGAATAGGCACATCCCTGCACAAGTCTGAGAAATCTCCTGCTGCATACCTGAGCAGTGAGGCATTGGTGCTCACCTTCCCGTTTATAGCCCTGCAGAGCCAGTAGTGGAAATTCCACGTTCCTTTGGCATGGGCGAAACTTGCCCGTAGGACGACCACTGCTGACTTTCCCACAACGTGGGTATTAATTTTATCGACCCCAGAGGAATGATGTAATTTTTCATTATATGTAATAGTTATAGCAATAAGTCAAGAAACATCTAAGTCGGTGCTCTCTGATGTGCCAAGTCAAAGTGATGGAGCTTTGTCCTTGCCCAGTCCTGGTCAGCCTGGCTCACAAGTCCGTCCGATGCATGACGTGCGGGTCGTCTGTTTTGAAAACCTGAACGTAGAGTGAGAAGTAATATCCTGTAAGTGACCGTTATATAACCTGAGATGCGTGCCTAAGAAAATATTTTCTGGCCCAAAACCTACTAAAATAACACCTTTTCTACACAACTAAGATACATTCATGCATACATATGGAGAATATCAGCTTAGGCAGGTCATTTACTCACCAAAACTGGAGCACGTCAGGTGAGGTGAGGGAGAGGGAGGGGCAGTAGGAGTGCCTGTCTCGCTCTGTGGGTCATCTCACGTAATAGCAAAACTAAAGCGACGTAAACCGATAAAAACAAAGGTGTTAATTTATGACGAACGCAATAACGGATCATTGTATACTATCGGGGTATGCCCGTAAACAAAAAAATGACTGGCTGAGTCAAACCCCCACCAGTCCAAGACTTGAACTCACGATCGTTCTCACTACGAGCCGCTCGCCTTGCCGCTGAACCTGCTGGTCAGATAGAAGAAGTCCCTGCACAGCCGTGACGGTGTTACAGCTTGGGGGGGGGGGGGGCGTCTCACCACGGCCTGTGTGAGTATTGATGGTGCCGCCTTCTTATGCCACTTCCATCGTCCCTTCTCGCCGGCCACAGGAGGAACGCACCGAGCTGCTGCAGGAGCTGGCGCGGCTGCGCTCCTGCAAGGAGAAGCTGCAGGCTGAGCTGGATAAACATCGCGAGTGCGACCCCGAGGTCATCAGCGACCTCCGTGAGTGACTGAACACACGGTCCTTCTCGCCGGGGCGGCTACGCTGCACGTGGCCGCCTGTGATCCGGCACTGGGGAGGCGGAGAGGGTTGGTGGATCGGATAATTGACAATGTTGCCAGACTCCCTTCCCGTGAACATCGAGGTGCAATGCCCTCACTCGCCAGCCGAATGCAGTGCAGAAAAGTGTGGACGGATCGCCATCTGTTTCCATCTGTACGGGATAGCGTGTTGCCCCCTTGCACGTGTAGTTTATCTCCGGGCGCTTTGGTTTCCTCCCACGTGTAAATACCCATTCATTGGACGATAGCATCTGAATATATAGAGGACCGCAGAGCTTGGGAGGGAATTTCGTGCCTGTTCATTCATCCATGGTTCCTCCTCACACCTCTGAGTCATCCTCTATCTTCGAGAGGGAGCACTGCGTGGCAGCGACAGAGCGCTACGAGTTATCATCATTATTATTATTTGACCCAGTGCTGCACTTCGGTGATTGGTGTGCATTGACGAAGGTGGCGGGGGAAGCAAAGATGTGACACTGTGGAAGTGCAGTACAACGATGGAATGTTGCCGCACTGCCCTGTGCTGTCCGCAGTGGCCTGTCACCTTGCTGTAAAGAGACATCATCATCATCTCCCTCTTCCCTCATTCTCTTCGCAGGAAAAGAGAACGAGATATCCAAGGATGCCGCGAACAGATGGACAGGTATCGTACTTATATGTGCTATGCCGGCTCACGAACACCACTTACCCCAGAAGGCTGTTAAAGCTATAGGGGGCGATCTTTGTAATGTAAGCGTCTCTCTGTGCTTGTGCTGTTTTTGTGTGAGTGCAGACAATGTGTTCTCCATCAAGTCGTGGGCCAAGAGGAGGTTCGGGCTGGAGGAGGATCAGCTGGACAAGTCTTTCGGGATTCCTGAGGAGTTTGACTACATCGAGTAACGATCGTGGATTTGTCCCAGCCGGCACACCACGTCCAGTATCCCCCTCCCCTTGGCCGCAGCTACTCGTCGCAGCCAAAGCGGACAGCAGCATGAAGCCCACGTGGAGTCCTCTTGACGAGTTGACGACACGTGGCGTTTTCCCGGTGTATTTCTCCAACGCGTGTTCATGGTGTACCGCGTCGTCGTTCAGAGTGATGTCCGACGTTTCGTTCCACGCACCGGGAGCCAAATTCAGGTCCTGCAGAAGCTGTCGGCACGAGGAGTGGAACGTCATCGAGGCCGTTCCCTTCGTCTCCGCGCACTTTCCCACATCTTTGACTTCCTCATTTCGACCTCGTTCCCTCCTCTGCTCCCACCTCTTCCAAGTGGTCACCTTGCCAGCGTGGAAGTGTAGGCCAACTACCGTCTAGAGCTGTGGCTGGTGGAAGCAACGCCCGCCAGCAAGGGGTGTGTGCAAGCCATTGCAGGGCTGCACCTGTGTCTCTGCCTACTGCAGGCTCTACCAGAAGTGAATGAATCCCTGGTGACCACCAAAGCCTTTGTCAGGCCACTTGCCTGTGGTGGACACGATGAGTGGAGGTGGTGGGTGGAGGTAGCGGTGTTTCACTGCTTCCACGCCCGTGCGGGGTGATCCCGCAACTCGCTGTGGGTGGTGGCTCTGACCATGACCAAAACCTGAACCCTATCCGTGACCTTGTCTCAAAACCCGATCTGCCTGACCCTTATCCTGCCCATCCTGTTGTACCCATACATAGTTGCGTCTGGATCGATTCAATTGGCAGCAACGGTGTTTTTAACAACGGGGGTGTTGTTCTGGCCGTCTTGCATTTGTGAGTGCTGGTTGTGAGGGCCTATAAGGACGCCTGTGTTTAAACATGTGTGTGCTCACATGAGTTCACGTGTGTTTTCACGGTTGCGCTATCTCTCTGCTGCATTTTCCGGGTCGTGCCGCTTGCGTGTTGTTCGTGCACGGTGTCCGATGTCTCGCTCCACATGCTGGGTACTTGTTCAGGAACTGAATCGCATCGGAGAGCTGCTGCACGCGAGTGAGCCTGCACCTCTGTGTTGATTGATCCATGGACCGGAGCAGACATCCAGCTGAGGTTCCAGCTCGGCACCATCGTTATTCTACCATCTGATATCTCCACTCTTTTCAAGAGGTTATCATTTATTCACTGTTGTTGGCCACGTAAAGGAATTGGGACATCTAAGGTTACACCACCTCTGGTGGAACCGACAACATTAAATATCTGAAAGCAAACTCAACACATTCTTAATTAACCCTGTGAGCGGCCTTTAAATAAAACAAATGTAATAAAAGACGTTTCGGGCATTGAGCCTCCTCCGATGTAATATATTGACGAATATGTTGAGTTTAATTTTTTGTTATTTTATTTACTGTGCTCGTACACCACTGTCCACGCAGCAGCAGCCCCAACTCATTTGATAGTAAATGATCTGGTCCTGGGCTCATAGACATAATATACCACGTGTAGATTCTAGTAGAAGGAAGGAAGCGATGACATGTGTGATGGCATCAGTGACCCTTAACATGATGACGTCTTGACCTTGTCTGTTTGGGTGTTTTTTTTACGGGAGCGGTAGTGTAGTGCTTAGCACGCTTTGAACCTGGCAACCCAAAGTTTATTCCGCTCTCTGCCAACACCAGGGACGATTATCTGAATCAGTCCCGGGCGTCCCCTAGGTCAACTTGGCCTCAAATGAGTACCTGCTGCGATGTATAAACATCACTCGAGAGACAAAGGTGGCCAGGCGTGGTTCTGGCCGCCCACTCCTTCGTGTACCGTGCCGGCCTTCATAGTTTCTTGCTAATATTACTTGCCCCAACAGTTTGTTGAGACTATACGGAGGATATTTGTATTGTTGGCAAACAAAAATAAACCTATTTCCATTGTTTGACTTTTACAAAATTCCTTTGAAATGTTGATGTTTATATCACCAGGTATAGTTGCAACCGCATCTCATGACCCTGTCCAGAATAGCAATGAGTAGGACATGCGCGTCACGGAGAAAGGAGGCATTTAATTATTTATTGTGAAGGCGCTGTCAGGCAACTGAGAAGAGGGCAGTATTCATTCTGAACAGGGGCAGGGAGTCTACCTCCTGCCAACGAGCCTTCGACACTTCACGAGACGGCCTCAAGGTGCACCTAGCCTGGCACAAGCGGCATTGTAACGCGACCGCCACTTTGTTGTTGGTGTGTGCGGCCAAATTTGCAGAACTTTACTGATGCCACCGAGCACAAGCTTTGGGGTGCGTCTTTCCATCACGTCTTATAATTCTTGGAATGTGGAATGTGGTGCTAATCTCTATCCAAACCGGATCCAGCCTCTTCTAAATCTCCCCGCCGCCCGCTGTGAAAACAGACGCTGCTCCTCCGTGAAGCTCACTCGCTCCTGCCTCTCTTCCCTCCTCCCACATCATCATCACCGCCCTCTCGTCATCTCCGTCATCTCGGCCCGGTCATTCCTCCTCTCTCTTCCTGCTGCTCATCTTGAGCCGTGCCCGCGTCTTTGTCCGTCTTGGGGGACTCCCGTTCCGTCATCCCTTCTCTCTCCCATCCCTTTCTCCGTGTGCCGAGCGTTACATTCTTGCCTTCTCTACTCCTCCTCCACCTCGCGTACAACGTGTTGTTGTTATATTCATGGCATGCGGGCATGCCCCGGGAGCGTGTTTGCGGGGGTGTGTGTTGCAGTGTTCATATACACAATGCCTTAAACTGAGTACCTGGGCGCCGTGTGTAACCTTCGACACTGGGGAGACAAAGGGGGCCGGGCGTGGTGTTGGTCACCCACTCCCTCGTTACCTCGTGTGCCGTGCCGGCCTTCGTAGTTGCTCGCTAACAGCACTTGCGCCAACACCCTGTTAAAGGCGACATTGGGACATTTTTGCAGTGTTCAGTGCAGGAATACATGGTGTGTTTAAAAAAAACGTACCGTGCGATGTGTCTGTGAGTAATAAGAGACGTAAGACTGCTGATGGGTCTCGGGTTAGGTCCCGGTTGCTGATGCACTTTAGTGCGGCCCTTTGAAACGTTGGTATTAACCATGAACCATGCCATGTCCTAAGGGTGCCTTCGTCTGGCTCGATGAGATATTCGCATTCCACATCGTTGTGCCTTATCATCATCATCAGTCGTGAAATATCCACTGCTGGATGAGAGCCTGCCCCCAAATTCGTCGCCATCTGTCACGGTCATACGAGTCCATTCCATCGCTCCGTCTCCACGGAGAGCGATCTTCTCGGTTGGCGATCGCTCCGCTGGCTCCCGCGTCGCCCTTAGTCTCAGCCACGGCCATCGCCATTCTCGTCTCAGCCACGTGCCCTGCTCGATGACAATTCGTACCGCCAGTCCCCTGCTTTACGAACGTCTCCCGGTGGCTTGTCGGTTCATGGGGGCCTATTTGACCATACCGCACCATCCTAGTCAGTGGCGACTCGGTTTGTAACATCATTGCTCTACACTTGATGTTCGCCGTGGCCAGAAATCGAACTCAGGTACCCGGGTTCATAGCCCAGTAGGCTAACCACTGCGCCACCGCTCCACAGCGTGTTGTGATTGATGTCGAGGCTCGTGGTGGTGGTGGTGTCGGAGCGCGCACGTGTCCATGCGCGATGGAAAATGCACGCAGCCCGATCGTGGAATTTGTGGAATGAAACGGCCGGCACAGTGACTCGGGAATGGTCCTTTTTAATCCGTGAATTCCTCACCGAGTCTCACAATCCCGGTGATCTTGGATTGTTTTTTTTAATCTATCATCATTGAATCATTCATTATCCATCCATTATAATTCACAATCGTCATATATGTATAAATGATTTAAACTCTTTTGCACCGTACGTAACCAACCGTGCTAATACATCAATCACTCATCTACCCATCCATAATTATCCACCAATCACCACATATCCATTCATCGCAAATAAATTGCCATAGATCATCATCAAATCATAAAGTGTCATCCACCATCATCATCCGTCACTCGTCTCCCCGTGCCGTCGTTCCCTGCAGGATGCGAGTGGCTGGATGGGAGGAGCAGGCGGGCAAGCGCAGTGGGCGCGGTGAGCCCGCTCACCTTGGCGCACGAGGGTCTCAGGTGAGCGCGGAGAGGGGGAGGGAGGAGGAGTAGGAGGAGGAAGCGAGAGGGAGTGTTCAGAGAGGGAGAGAGAGGCGGGTCCTGCTCCTTTGTGCTCAAAGTCATCGCCATCGCCTGGATTACTTCGCGAAAGCGCCGTGCTCTCTCGCTCTCCAGGGAGAGGAGAAGGTAGAGGGAGGGGATAGGAGAGAGGAGAAGGGAGAGGAGGGATAGCGTCCCTCGGTGTCACGATGAGCCAGCTCGCGAGCAAGTTGCGCACACTGGCGCAGAGACGAGAGGTGAGTGGGTGGCTCGTAGCGACTCACTCCGACCATACACTCACTCGTAGCGACTCACTCCGACTATACAGACTCATAGCGACTCACTCCGACTATAACACAACGATGCTCTGTGTAGCCTTAACAAACTTTTTTGGAGCAATTGCTGTCAGCAAGCGCATATGAAGGTCGGCACAGCACACAAGGGGTGGCTTTGTTTCCTCCGTGGGGATGTTTACACACCGCACCAGGTAGTCGCGTGAGGCTGAGTCGACTTAGAGGAGGTCCAGGACCGGTTCAGATAATCGTCACTGGTGTGGACCGTGAGCGGGAGTCGAACTCGGTTCGCCGGGTTCGTAGCGCAGCGTGGCGCTCACCGTTACTCTACCGCGCCTCGTTAATGCCTACACACATCCGCATACACACACACACAGACATACACACACACCAACTTACACACATCCATACACAGGCCGACTCACGCAAACTTGTACGCAGACATCACACGCAGGCACGCACACTCACGCGTACGTATCCACACTCCGACTTGCGCACTCACGCAGACACGCACACACAGACACTCACATACACACAGACACGCACACACACACACAGACACTCACATACACACAGACACGAACACACACACACAGACACTCACATACACACAGACACGAACACACACACAGACACTCACATACACACAGACACGCACACACACACACAGACACGCACACACACACAGACACTCACATACACACAGACACGCACACACACACAGACACGCACACACACACAGACACTCACATACACACAGACACGCACACACACACAGACACTCACATACACACAGACACGCACACACACACACAGACACGCACACACACACAGACACTCGCATACACACAGACACGAACGCACACACACAGACACGCACACACACACAGACACTCGCATACACACAGACACGCACACACACACTCACATACACACAGACACGAACACACACAAACACAGACACGCACACACACACAGACACTCGCATACACACAGACACGCACACACACACACAGACACGAACGCACACACACACAGACACGCACAGAGACACGCACGCACACACACAGACACACACAGACACGCGCACACACACACGCACACACACACACGCACACACAGACACGCGGGCGTGCACACAGGGCGCTTTAACGTATCCGCCTCGGGACATTCCCGTGAATGTGATTCAAATGTACACGCGCGTAAGCATCTGTGTGTGCAGTCCATCTCATCTCCATCTCATCATCTCCGGAGCCGCGTGACGATGGCAGCCTCGTCACGTGGTGCGCGCCCGTGTACAGTGCCGCTCACTTTACCTGCGAGTCCGGCTCTCACCTGTGTCTGAGCCTGTGAGCGTGAACCTGTGTCTCACGTCGTGTCCCTCACCTGACTATCACCTGTGTCTCACGTCGTGTCCCTCACCTGACTATCACCTGTGTCACACGTCGTGTCCCTCACCCGTGTCTCACCTGTGTCTAAACCCCACCTGTCTCTAAACCCCACCTGTCTCTATACCTAACCTGTGTATCTGAACCTATGTCTGAACCTCGCTTTTATTACCTTTCTCTCAGCTGTATCATTCCTGTGTCTGATTCTCACTTTTGTCTCACCTGTGTATCTCACCTGTCTGTCCGAATCTCTCGGTCTCACCTGCGCTTCTAATCTGTGTCTAACATGTGTATCTGAATCTCACCTGTGTATCTCACCTGTGTCTAAAACTCATCCGTATTTTATCCACGTCTCTCACCTGTATATCACCTATGTATCTCAACCTCAGCTGTGTATTTCATCTGTAAGGCTGAGCCTCACACGCTCACACGCATAGCAATGCATATTATATGTGCACGTATGCATCCGCTAGAGGCGTTAGTCGAATCTTCAATCATCATCGGACATGATCTATCGGCCGTTGGATCAAGACTTCCCCAAGCCTGAGCGAATGGGGGATGGGGGAAGTAGCTGGTGAGAGTTAATGAATACACCTTGATTAAGGATTAAGAGTCGGTGGTTTCCTGCTCAAGCGAGCGTGGGGGCGTTGCTCGCTTTGCTACAGCCTGGAGCCGGTAGTGGAAATTCCACATTCCTATGGCGGGGGCGGGCTAAGAAGCAGCACACCTTTTCGAGAGGAGAGTTAGGAGAGTCGAGTGAGGAGAGTCGAGTGAAGAAGAGAGGGGAGAGGCAGGAGAGCGCGTGGAGGGGAGTGCTGAGATGAGAGCTTAGAGCGAGGCATGGAGGGAGGATCTGGAGGGCTGAGTGAGATGTTGAAGTTGGACCGGGATCGTACCGGGAGCCGTGGTGAGTGTTGGGGTTCGTGGGGGGTGGAGCCGGTGACAGCGGCTGAGATTTCATCATCGCTCAGCGATGGGTCACTCTGCTGGTGTCTGCATTCCTCTGCGACTTCCCACGTCTAGCATAGTGACATATAAACACGGTGGCACGCGGCCGTGGACAAAGCGAGATAAGAGTGTATTCCCTCTTTAACCTTCACGGCCCCGTTTCCGTGTTTACCGATCTGCACCATCCTTCGTCAATCGCACAATGTCCTTAAAATGAAAAGCAATAAATACGCGACGTTTCGGGCAACGGCCCTGCTAACGAGCACACTAAACCATATCTTCGAGTGGTATGAAGGCTATTGTTCCACATGTGCTATGAAGGCCCATTTCCCGAAACGTCTTATAAATATACGGATTCAGGAACCTTCCTTCCAAAAAACAAAGATCCCCCGTATAGCCTTTAACAAACTCACGGGCCAAGTGCCGTTAGCGAGCGAGCACCGATATCAAGGACGGCACGGCGGCACACGAGTGGGTGGCGTGGCAACACCGCGCCCGGCCGCCTTTGTCTCTCCGGTGATGATTGATGTCGACTTAGGGAAGGCCTAGGACGGGTTCAGATATTTGCTGTCACCGTTACAGTTGTTGTTACTGCCGTGCGTGCGAATCGTTCTCTGTTCGCCGTGTTTGCAGCACAGTGCCCTAACCACTGCGCCACCGCTCCTCGTGTCCCCGCGCGCACAGCTCTCCCGAGCCCCGAGTCCCATCGGCACGTCGGAGACCCCGGGCAGACCCCCGCTCGCCGCCCCCTCCGCTCCGAGCCCGGGGGGTGACCCCGAACAGCAGGGAGAGGCGGGCGGTGGCGTGAAGCGTTTCGAGGTCCTCTATGTGGGGCGCCTCGCAGTGGGGGGCAAATTGGGCCCCCCCTCGCTTGTCGACGACAGCATCACGGCGCTGCACTGGCGCTACGGCGCTGAAGGGGACAGCTCCCCGGAGGAGCCCTGCGAGCCCGGTCGAGACCCCTTCGAAGCCGACCCCCCCGACCCCGCGGGGAGCCCGGGCGGGCCCCGTGGCGGGCAGAGTGCGGGGTCCAGGAGGAGCAAGCTGGACATGCAGAGGGACCGCACGATGCTATTCCAGGTGCGCGCCTTTACCTTTAGCTGCGTGTGTTGTTTTATATTTTTTATATATTGGCGCGTTCCCACTCGGGCTGAATTGTGTGTTTTGGTCGCTCTGCCAGTCACGTGGTTGGAACCGTTGGGAACAACGTGTTTCTACTCATCCCATCAAGCAAAACTCTGCGCCGGTTTCGACATTCAGTTCTAGATTTGAAGCTTTCATGACTGCAATGATTCATATTCTTAGGTTTTTTCGGTAAAGTCACGTAGGTAAAAAAATAATAATAAAAATATAAAAAATTATAATAGAAATAAAATAATAAATCACGACGTTTCGGAGGCAACACAAGTTTCCGTCATCAGTAAATTTTGCTGTGACGGTCCCACCTGATGATGGAGACTTGTGTTGCCTCCGAAACGTCGTGATTTATTATGTTATTTCTATTATTATTTATTTTATTTTATTTTTTATTTTTATTTTTTACCTACGTGACTTTATCGACATTCAGTCTCTCGTCAGCAGCCGAGTGAGGCTTACTTGGACCCATGCTGGTGAACCGCCGATCTTACCCGGCAAGGAGGAGCCCAGAGAGTAAAGAGAGGAAGTATTCTTGCCTCGTTTTGCTTGAGCTTGCCTGTCTGGAATCAGTGCTGCTGACATTGTGCATGTCCATAGGGAAGGCCGTGCGGCTGATGGGGATGTGTAAGGGTTTCAGGTGAGGGGGGGGGGGGGTGAGGAGGAGGTGAGGTTGGGGTGGGTGGGTGGGTGGGTGGGGGGGACACGTGACCGTGAGATTTCAGGGAGGCATCCTCGTGGGAAATTGCGGTGATTGAGCCACGGGCCACGAGCCAGCATCTCGATGTCTCGAGGGAGTGAATCTGACCACTCGCATACACAGTGTGAGTGAGTGGGTGATGGGGTGAGTGGGTGATGGGGTGAGTGGGTGATTATACGAGTGGGCGATAGGGCGAGCGGGTGATGGGATGCGTGCGTGATGCTATGAGCGGATGAGAGTGATGTTATGAGTGGGTAGTTTGAGTGAGTGCCAGTACGAGTGTTGATGGGGTTAGTGAGCGATTTGGGTGAGTGAATGGTGTGGTGAGTGGGTAATGTTGTAAATGGGTGATAATGTGAGTGATTGGGTGGGTAACATTGTGTGTGTGTTTGGAAGGGAAGAGTGTGTGAGCGATGTTGTGAGCGAGTGATCGAGTGGCCACGTGCACCTCGTCCCCAGGTGGGTGAGGCGTACGTCACTCTGGTGAGTCCCGACTGCAAGGGCGTGGTGCTGGAGAGGTCTTTCCAAGACATCTCCTACTGCTCGCGGGTCAGGAGCCACACACGTGCACACACCACACACACACACCACACACGCACACCGCACACACACCACACACACGTACACCACACACATCCACACCACACACACGTGCACCACACACACGTGCACCACACACACGTACACCACACACACGTACACCACACACACGTACACCACACACACACACCACACACACACCACACACACCACACACACCCCTACATGAACATCCCCTTACCCAAGCCACCACTATACAGGTCACGTGATCACGCTGGCCATTATGAACCGCGGTTTACACCACCAATCAACTTGGCAGGCTCAGCCGGGGGAATGCCGCTCACTTGGCCCCCCCCCCTTTTTATTACCCCCCCGCCCCCCTCCCCCCCTCAGGGCCTCTCCAGGACCGACCACTTCGGCTTCATCTGCAGGGAGGCGGCCGACTCGGGGCCCGCCAGCACGCACATCTGCTACGTGTTCCAGTGTACGGACACGTCACTGGTCAGCCAGCCCCCCCGCTTCCAAACATTCAAAGCCCCCATATCAACCCCCCCCCCCCAGCTGTACGTGTGTGTGCTTGTAACCAATTATTGGTATTGGTGTGTGTGTGTGGAGCAGCGGTTAGCACACTGCGCTACGAACCCGGCAATTCGGGTTCGATTCCCTCTGTAAACACCAGTGAAGATTATCTCAATCGGTCCTGGGCATCCCCAAGGTCAACTCGGCCTCAAATAAATACCTGGTGCGGTGTGTAAGCATCGTCACTGGAGAGACAAAGGCGGCCGGGCGTAGTAGCCTGCCGGCCTTCATAGGTGGTCGCTAACCACCCTTGCCCCAACAGTTTGTGAAGGCTAGAAGGGGGATCTTTGTTCGTGTCTTTGTTATGAGGGTCTCCCCTAGGTCGACTCCGCATTAAATCAGTAACGAGCGCGTTGTGTAAAACATCAGCCCCGGGAGAGATGGAGGTGCCCAGGTGTGGTGGCTGGTCAGCGACTGGAAAAGTTACAAAGTCCTAACCCCCCACACCACGTGACTTCCCAGAACCCCCACGAGAGTCGTGCCGGCCTCGAGTGCTGCTCGCTAACAGCACTTGCCCCAACAGTCTCTTGGGGCCTCCGGGGGGTGGTCTTTGTATGTATGAATGTCTTTGTACGTGGGTCTCCCCTAGGTCGGCTCAGCTTTACATATATGAATACCTGCTGCGGTGTGCAAACAGCAGGGAGACAAAGGTGGTACTGGTCACCCACCCCCACGTGTGCCCTTACCACGCTGAAGATGTCCTCACTAACAGTAGTTGGCCAAGCAGTCTGTTACCCTTGACTCGCCACGTGTTATTCTTATCCTTTGATGGAGCGGTGCGGATGCGATTTGTCTCTACGGGGGGGGGGGCTTGGTGGGGGGGGGCTTGGTGGGGGGGGCTTGGTGGGGAGGGGCGTGGGCATTTGTTTGTGATGCGGGAATTTGTTTGTGATGCATACCTGCGTGCGTGCGCTCATTCCCCCTGATGAATGGGCAGGGGGCCGTCCCATCCCTCCTCGGCCGTAAGATTCACTAAAGAGAGGCGGCGAGCGCGAGTGAGTCATCCACCCAGCGGGTGGCATGGGGGAGAGGTTTGGGCTGGAGTAGTAGTGGGGGCGGGGGTGGAGTAGTAGTGGGGGGTAGTGGGGGGGGTTGCGCAGCCCCAACCAAACAGAGCAAACCGGTTCCGTGCGCGTCCGCCAGTCTGTGCGCCTGCTTGGCCCTCGCCTCCCGCCCGCGCTGCGACGTCTCGGGGCGCTGATCGCGACTTGGGCGCGAGTGGCGACTCGGCAGCGGCGCGTTTCGCCTCCTCGCGTCCACCCCCCCTCCCCCCTAGTGACCCCCCCACCCCGAACCCACCCCGAACTTGCACTCCGCCTACGCTCCAACCGCATCCTGCCCCCAGCCCGGGTTCGACACCAGGATGAATGTAAGTGGCAACTGCGCGCGGCTTGGCACCGCCGCCGCCTCTCCTGTGTTGCTCGACTTGCAGCTGCTCTACGTCGTGTTTTCGAGTTGTACCCCCCCCCCCACCCCCCACGTGTTTGGTCGGCACGATGTCCTAGTTCTCGCTCGTACTGGCGGAGAGGTTGTTCGGCATCCTCCGGTGCTTAATAATAAATAGGTGTATATTAAATTTAATGAAAACTAAACATTTGCTGCTGATGCTACCTGGGTAATGATACAAACGCATAATTGACAAACACAACGCATCGGTCAATAACACCGGCCCAATATGAAACCTCGGATACGATATAAGTGCTACGAAGTAGGGCCATTGCCTGAAACGTCGCCTATTATATATCCTCTTAAAGTCGTCACACAGTGTTGTTGCTGACGATTGCCTTGAGTCGTGGAAAGAGAATGGCTGGGACTGGCTCCAGGTCAGGAGGACTGTAATCTCCATCCCAGGTTTTCCTAGCCGAGAAATCCATGCGGTCGTTTAGCGGCAGAACTGGTCCGGTGACATCCCTGCAAGTTCTCGCCGCGTGATCAGCGGCAACGTCGCCTCTGCTTGCCCATTGTGCTCCCGCCTCGTGGCGTCCGCCCTTGGCAATTACGAAACCCCGGAGCGGAGTTCAACGTCCAGCCTGACCTGGCTCCACTCGTCCATTAAAATTCAATGTTCAGCAGATTGCTCGCTTGCCGATGCTTGCCGAGCTGCTGCATTGGCAGTGGTGTACGAGCACACTTCACAACAACAGCACAATTGTGTGTGTGGCCTTAGAAGGGAAACAACATGTAATACGCGACGCTGCGGGCTATTGAAGGTTGTCCGGAATTTAACACGTTTTTCCACGGAAACGGGTTTGTGTGTGATTCGGTTAAGTGGAACCCCCGTGTGGCCCCTGGTTCTTTGTAGGTTACTCTTTGGTTCTTTCGGTAAAGTCACGTAGAACGAGAAAAAAATAAATTAAATGCTAGCATACGACGTTTCGATTGCAAACAAGCAATCATCGTCAGGTATAAATGAAATAGAAAACAAACCTAGTACACTTAGAAATGTAATGTAATACAACACAGAGTCGGCTAACGTAACAGTCAACACACTATCTGGTTGATTACGTTCTTCCTGAAAATGCTAAATTTGAACGTTCAAGAATGCTAAATTTGCAATCGAAACGTCGTATGCTAGTATTTAATTTATTATTTCCTTTTTATACGTGACTTTACCGAAAGAACCAAAGAGTAATGCCTGCAGTCACGAAAGCTCCAAATTGAGTTTCTCTGTCGGTTACAAAGTCTCTCCGCTTGTGACCAAATCTCGTTGAGCTCAGGAGGTTCGAGTCTGGGTAGTGATGGATGGGCCACGAACAGTGCCCGAGCAGCCATTCTCAAAGCACTCGACACACTCGTCAACAACGACAACACCGCCGCGTGTGTGGCCTTAAAAGGAAGAAACACATAATAGACGACGTTTTGGGCAATTACCCTTATTAATGTGCTATGAAGAAGAGCCATTGCTCGAAACGTCGCTGTGGGGCCTTGGTGCACCACTACCAACGCAGCAGCAGCACCACCAAGTGTTTTGTTCAGCAGGTGCTGTGGGCGTCTTGGGGGCTAGGTAGTGGGCAGCAGAGGGCAGTGCTACAACAGCAACATGACGAGTTGGTTGTCTTGCGCGGTACTGCTCCGCTCGCAGTCTTCGCCCACCGGCACTGACTGGCGAGCGAGCCGGGCGAGCGTTGCGAGGTTCCTCTTCCTCTCACTCCGCGTCGGAGGATCGGCAGCAGCAGCGCACGCACGGACGCCTGCGCCCCCGAACAGATGTCACGCGCGGCGTTTCAAGTCACTCATTCATGCGCTGACCTTTACCCAAGCGAGGAGGGCCTTTGAGAGTCCTCGTGTGTTTACTCCAGCCCAGTGGGGGGGGGGGGGGGGGGGGGGCTGTGTTACGCGCGTGCTCGTGGGTTTTCGGGTTGGAAGCGACACTGCGTACTCATTGGCTCGGGTACGCGGGGTGGGGGGGGGTAACGTAGTAGGTCCACGTGACAGCAGAGGGATCGCGCTTGGGTAGAGAGACCTGTGCCTGGATCATCTCCTCTTGCTTGTGTGCTGCCACCAGAGTCACGTGTCTATCCGGTACTCGGCACATGGTGACGATGAGTTGGTCCCATCTGAGCCCTGCAGAGGTCCTCCGAGGTGCACAGCTCCATACTAATGATGTGGTGATGATGAAGACCACGATGATGAAGTGCTCGCTCACAGAACTTGCCCAAGAATGTTGAAGGCTTTCTGGAGGATGTGGAGTGGAGTTTCCTTCGTGTAGTAGGGGGGGGCGGTAGCGTAGCGGTTAGCGCGCTGCGCTACAAACCCGGCCACCCGAGTTCGATTCCCACCTACGGCCAATATCGGGTGACGAATATCTGAACCGGTCCTGGTCTCTCCTAGGTCGACTCAGCCTTGAATGAATATCGGATGCAGTGTGTAAAACATCAGTCCTGGGGAGACAAAGGCGGCTGGAAGGTCACGGTTATTGCCACACCACCCCGTCGTGCAGTTGGTCCGGGCTTCACCGGTGCTCACTAACAGTACTTGCCCCAACAGCCTGCCACAAGGCTATACGGGGGGGAACCTTTGTCACGTCTTTGTGGTGTCGCCCCGCAGGTGGATGAGATCATGATGACGCTGCGGCAGGCCTTCCAATCTGCGGCCGCCACCAAGGTCGCCCGTCGCAGGCCTGGGCCGGAGACGCGGGCAACCACATCCACCCGGCCAGCGCACGGTGCGGCACAGGCCGGGAGCCACCCCTACATGCCTGGAGGTGCATGCCAGGCTGGGGCCAGGGGGCCGTCCATAAATGACGTCACGCACCTGGGGGGGGGGTCAGATATTTGTAACGATGTGTGACGAGGGGGGGGGGGGGTTGAGAAATGTGACGTCACATCAAAATGCGCAACTTTAAATAAATGTAGACAACACGTTCTACTTAATTAAATAGACTTTTTAATAAATGTTTATTCCTACAACATCAGAGTGCAGCGGCACATTAAATATGCACTACAATGACAATAGTTTAAAGCGGTTAGAAGCATGTTAAAAAACATTTGGGGAGGGGGGGGCAGAGCTTCGTGACGTCATATTTAAGGGGGGGTCTGACTTTTTGTGACGCCGTGTGACGAGGGTAGGGGGGGTAAAAAATTGTCCAAAATCGCGTGACGTCATTGATGGACGGCCCCCAGGCTGGAGCGGTGGTGGAGCGTAGCTGTTCCACTGCGCGTCGTTTGGTGTAATGTCCGACGTTTCGCTCCAGTCTGTTCATCTGTTGATCTGTCCCTATCCGCGTTTCCGTCACCCCCCCCCCCCCCCCCCAGCCGGTGTCCACGCGAGGAGGGACGACGCTGGTGGGGGGCGAGGCGGGGAGGGCGACGCACGCACGGTGACGTCCGCGCGTCTACGTGCACAGGTGTGGAGAGCGGGTACGCGCGCCACGCCAGGTTGTGAAGTCGTGGGCCGCGTGTGGCCCCGTGGGCCCTTGCTGTCCCCAGCGCTACGTCACATGCTCTGTGCGGCACAGCGAGCGTCGTTCTCGTCGCGCGTTTGGTAAAAACCACCGCTCCTTCCTGCTTCCTGCTGTGTGCAGGAGCCCACGCGGAGCCACATAATCTCGGCCCAGCAGCAGCAGCAGCAAGAGCAGCAGCATCATCAGAGCTCAGGCGGTTTAGGCAAACTGGAATTCCTGAAGAGCAAGGCCTCCAAGGGTCTCGCCACCTCTCTGGAGAACATCTTCTCAGCGCTGGTGAGCGAGTGGGCAGGGGAGAGCCAGTGCAGGGAGGAGAGGGAGTGTTTCTGTATGGACTGGAGAGTGATGCTGCATGGAGTTTAGGGCTGTATGTGTTTGTGTGTGGGGAGCGGTGGTGTAGCGGTTAGCGCTCTGCGCTACGAACCCGGCGACCTGGGCGCGATTCCCGCTCGTGGCCAACGCCAGTGACGATTATCTGAACTGGTCCTGAGCCTCCCCTAGATCGACTCAGCCTCAAATGAGTACCTGGTGCGGTGTGTAAACATCGCCACTAGGGAAACAAAGGCAGTCGGGCGTGGTGCTGGCCACCCACCCCATCATGTACCGTGTCGGCCTTCATAGGTGCTCATTAACAGGACCTACCCCAACAGTCTTTTGCAGGCTATACGGGGGTCTTTGTGTATGCATGTGTGTTCGTGTGTGTGTTCATATGGGGAGCGGTAGTGCAATGGATAGCGTGCGACAAACCCGGCGGTCCGAGTCCGATTCCCACCCGTGGCCCTGCGCGCCACATCGGTGACACATATGTGAACCGGTTCGTGGCCTCCCAGCTCTGTTGATTCATCAGCACTCCTCCTGATGTGGAGTGTAACACACCATCACCGGAGAGACAAAGGCGGCCAGGTGTGGTGCTGGCCATGCACCACCTCGTGTGCCATGCCACCCTTATGGGTGTTCGCTGACAACACTTGCCCTGCAGTCTGTTTGTCTTTGTGTGTGTGAATGGGTGTGTCTCCATGGGGGGGGGGGTGTACGTGTAAGTGTACAAGTGGGTATCGGCCATCGTCATCATCAGCATGCTTTATCCACTACCGGATCGAGGTCTGCCCAAGCGCGTCGCACGCTCCTCACGATCCTGCAACGCGTTAACGATCCACGCGGCCGCTTGCAGAACGAGCCGGTTCCACCACTCCATCTGCACGGTCGACGCCCCCCCCCCCCCCACCGCGATGCATTGCTTCTGTGGGAACAGTGCTGCGCTGATTGCCACTCTTCTTGGTTCTTTCGGTAAAGTCACGTAGAAGGGAAATAATAAAATAATAAAAATAAAACATTCTCAAATAATTCTCACGACGAAACGTCGTTATTATTTTATTATTTCCCTTCTACGTGACTTTACCGAAAGAACCAAGAAGATGAATCCCTGCAGTCACGAAAGCTTGAAATCGAAATCTGATTGCCACTGTCACGTGCAGAGAGAGCGCTCTGACCCGGTCACCCTTCACCACTTTGATTCGTAAACTTTGGTTGGAAGGAGCGGGGGGGGGGGGGGTAGAGTCAAGGATGTAATGCATGGGAAAGAGGAATGGGAGAGGGAAGAGAGAAAGAATGGGGGATGAGAGGGAAAGGGATGGAGAAAGGATAGGAGGAATCGGAGCACGGGGGTCAGGGAGGGAGAGAGGCAGCGTCGGGGTCTCGACGCTGCTGCGGCTGCATGGAGAAGCAGCGGCGTCCATTCTCACGGGGGGTGGCGGGGAGCCGAAGGGGCTCCTGGGCCATGGAGCGAAACGTCTGACATCGTGCCGAACGACACGCGGTACGACCCTTAAACACGCCGGAGAGCTGCGTTGGGGAGTGTTTCCGTGAAGATTCAAGAGTGCGTACATAGTGGAGAGCGTTTGTGTGCTGTGCAGACAGAGTACAGATCAGAGAGTGTTGCTAGTAAGTAATTTTTGTACGCAGTGTGCGTGGTTATTGGAGATTGTTTTTGTGTGTGGAGCACGCGAGTGTTTCTGTACGGATCGATGAGTGCGTACAGAGTGTGGAGTGTTTGGTGGCGGTGTGGAGTGTTTGAAGGGGGGGCGGGGGGATGTGGGCACGAGGCTGTGGCGAGCGTTCCGATTATGTGGCCCTGCTTATCTCGGTTGACCTTTGACCCCGCGCCATTATAATAACGAATGTTTGAAACCGCGCTGTGTGGTTCTTCTCTTGCTCCATTTCAATTTTCACATTTTCCGATCCTTTAAAGGGCACAATCATTTACCTTGCACCAACACAAATAACACATCATCATCTTCCTCCTCTGCTTCAGCCGTGGTCAACACGCTGCTTGATGAAACTGCATCCTACTACTTTAACGATATCTTTTTTTTACTTGAAAACATGTTTATTATGTATTTGTAATGTTTGCCATATTCTTATAGCGTTTATTTAATCGTCATTTCTTAATATAAATGACTATTAATCAGTACTGTCTGCTGCTAATCCACTGCTGGATGAAGGCCTCCCTCTACGTGTGCAATGTGTGTCACTTGGGGGGTTGTTTGACCATACTTCACCACGCCGGTCAGTACCGATTGATTGGTCTAGTGAGGGCGACAGGTCGGTCAAGTTCATAGGGCAGTGCGCTATCCAGCACACGACCACTCCACACCACGTTACAATGTTACGTTAATCCTCACGATTCCATTCATCGATCGGTGCACCATTGTTAGCCTCGGCTAGCATGTTGACGTCTTTAATGAAGACGGGAGAAAGAGGAACGCGTGGATTAGAGAACAAACTGCAGGTTGCTTGCTCGGCAAAGGAAGAGGAGGGGGGTTTGGCAGTGCGGGATGGCTGGCGAGAGAGAGCCACTCGTGAATCACAGACAAAGGTTGGCACCGCAGCCTCGAGGACGTCCTCCACGGGAGATGGAGCGGTGGAATCGGCTTGCGCTTTGAGCCGGATGAATCGTTCACTTGGCAGGATTGCTGAGAGAATGGCGACAACTTGGGGGGTGGGGGGGCCTTCATCCAGCAGTGGGTAGATCTTTCTTCTTGTTTCTTTCGGTAAAGTCACGTAGAAGGGAAGTAATAAAAATAATAAAAATAAAACATAATAAAACAATTCTCACGACGTTTCGGCTACAACGCAAGCAGCCGTCTTCAGGTGAAGAATGAGACACTACCAAACTAGGAGCTTATATATAAGCTGCATTGGGGGTTGAAGAGCGCCTTAACAAAAAGAATGTGCATGTGAAGAGGAATTTAGCATATTCATGGAAAATGCGTAGGCGTTGGGCGGGGGGGTGTCAAAGTCATATTATGCCCATGCATTATGCAGGATCAGCAGCAACCAAGGGGGGTGCAGGGATTAGCAGTAACAAAGGAAAGGAATGTTAATGATATGTAGCTGCAGTTACTCAACAACCACGTAGAAAACTAAAGTATAAACTACATAAAAAACTAAAGTATAAACTGCATCGCACCATCAGTATACTTACTATACTCTATAATAAGCTGAGTTACTAACAGCAAGTAATACATTACAATTCTACCTCGTAAAAATTCTATGATATGCTTCCATCCTAAACCTTATTCTCTTATATCACACGAGCATATACCGTACTATATACTGCCATAGATAAACCCAACATTAAATTATTACTGTATTGCTGTAACCAACCTATATCTTATACATTTAATATAACACTATGTATTATTCTACACACCCTAATGTGTATCGAAATGGTTTATTACGTCCTTCCAATGATTGCTGAGCCAGAATCCATCTTCTCGGTAAAATTGTCTCTGTGTTTGTATATGTGGATCGCCTCATGAACGAATCTCTCATGATAGCCAGATGGCTTGCAGAGAACCTCTGGTCTTGGAGAAGTCGATATCATGTGAGCCCACTGAGTTGTAACAGTGATCTGCCACGGCTGAGGTGTTTGTCCTACCGTGTTTCCGGTCAGCTTTATGTCACGGATGCGGTCCGAGACATGTCGTTTGGTTTCCCAATGTAACTGCTACCACAGAGGCAACTTAGTTGTAGACGCCAGGGTACTGTATGTCTGGAACCACATCTTTTACAGACGGTACCAGATCACGGATTTTATGTACTGTGTTGAACTCGGACCTGGATCTTGTGTTTAATCAGGATTTTAACCGAGAAGATGGATTCTGGCTCAGCAATCATTGGAAGGAAGTAATAAACCATTTCGATACACATTAGGGTGTGTAGAATAATACATAGTGTTATATTAAATGTATAAGATATAGGTTGGTTTACCGCAATACAGTATATAATTTAATGTTGGGTTATCTATGGCAGTATATAGTACGGTATATGCTCGTGTGATATAAGAGACTAAGGTTTAGATGGAAGCATATCATAGAATTTTTCCGAGGTAGAATTGTAATGTATTACTTGCTGTAGTAACTCAGCTTATTATAGAGTATAGTAAGTATACTGATGGTGCGATGCAGTTTATACTTTAGTTTTTTTATGTAGTTTATACTTTAGTTTTCTACGGTGGTTGTTGAGTACTGCAGCTACATATCATTAACATCCTTTCCTTTGTTACTGCTAATCCCTGCAACCCCCTTGGTTGCTGCTGATCCTGCATAATGCATGGGCATAATATGACTTTGACCCCCCCGCCCAACGCCTACGCATTTTCCATGAATATGCTAAATTCCTCTTCACATGCACATTCTTTTTGTTAAGGCGCTCTTCAACCCCCAATGCAGCTTATATATAAGCTCCTAGTTTGGTAGTGTCTCATTCTTCACCTGAAGACGGCTGCTTGCGTTGTAGCCGAAACGTCGTGAGAATTGTTTTATTATGTTTTATTTTTATTATTTTATTACTTCCCTTCTACGTGACTTTACCGAAAGAAACAAGAAGATGAATCCCTGCAGTCACGAAAGCTTTAAATCGAAATTTATGGGTAGATCTTGGCACGCTACAACGACGGCTGCGGCGGTGGTGACGACGACGTTACGGATGAACGCTGTTGTTGTTGCTGTCGTTTTGTCCCTCGGTGCAGGGAGGCGCCAAGCCCAGGAGTGGCTCTGGGAGCGACAGCCTCAGGTCCCGGAGTAACACCTTCACCTCCGACTCCTCCAGGGTGAGTGGGGCGAGGGGGGGGGTCACAGCCCTGTGGGGGGTTCACGGTCTTCAGAGGGGGCGGCGGCAGGGAGAGGGAGAGGTTCGGCGTGGGGGTGGCCAACACACAAGTCGCGTGGTGTGCGGGGGGCTCGAGCTGAAACTTAGTCAAGTGATCTCTGTGCACTACGGCCACTCGGCTGCCGAGCGCAATGCGCAGGCGGTGGAAACTGCACCGGGGCTCCGGGCCACAGAGGCCACAGGGCCGGGCTACTCGGGTTGAATAAAGGTCGTCAATGCTGATATTGGCAGAAATCTCGCGTGGGTGAATAATGGGCATCATTCACGAGGCGACGAATCGTCCCGTGTTCTCCGCAGGAGTCGACATCTCCCCCACCCTCCCCCCTCCACTGCGGCCCCCCCCACGGGGACCCAAGCCGGCGGAGGCTGCGTGCCCCCCACGCCTCCACCTCCTCCAACGACCAGGACAGCAGCGACTCCGACACCCGGAACTGGTGACCCCAAATACCGGCGGGGGGTC